GGGGGGGGGGAAACTGCTACCAGTTAAGTATGGGGTCGATCTCTTCTAGAGTTCAGTGAACATTAGTTCACTGAACTCTAGAAGAGATCGACCCCATATTTACGAAACTCCACTGTTTAGTTATGGAAACAAGTAGCCTACGCTTTTAGGCTTAAAACGGTGAACCACAGAAAGCCTCGATAATAATGAAGATTGACATTGAGAAAGATGAGAATGCGATACACGACAACAGCGGACCACTAGGCGACGGGGGCTTGTTGAGAATCGGCGGATTACGCATCACTGAGACTGGAGAATTAAGAAGAATGTTATTAGGTACCAATGGGTATTGAACTCTGTCCCATCAATGAAAACTGAAGCGTTTCTACAGTACACGGATATATATATATATATATATATATTCATTTGCGTTTGACGAGCCCTAGTTTGGATTGAAACGCTACAATAAACATTTTACAACGCCTCCATTCTTTCTTGAAATATATAAATATCTGTATTCTCATCTCGTTCGAACCATTTCTCCGTTAGTTTGTATCACAATCAGACATGTACTTCAATGCGCCAATTCTTTTTCGGTGACTTTGTAATTCTAACTTTTTGAACAATGTAATCACAACTGCAACATCATATGACCTCCATCGTTAGATAGTTCCAAGATAAGAGACGGAGTGAATAGTACAAATAACAAAAAGTTAATGAATCAGGTTATGTAACTGCTCAAATTTCTGTTAAACTCATCAGAATGTTTTTCTGCCTATGGAAAAGGATAGCAGGCAGGGTGAGTCGGTGCAGAAATCGAAATGGAATCCGTTATTCGGAGCACGGTGTGTGTGGAATCACCCAATCATGTGTTCAAAAAACAACCCGTATAACTGAGCCTGACCGTTCATTTTAAAGTCATCTAAAAAGCCAAACGATTCCACAAGATGAGCAATCAGTGCGCATCGCATTAGATTAAAATATGCAATTTGTCCATGCTTTGCACTTCATGGATTCAGTTCTTTCCTCGCGGATAAATTTGATTTCTAACGATCGAAACAAAACCATTGCTCAATCGCCCTAAAACACATACACACAAACAACTATGAAGTAGGGCACTAAGCAGCAGTAATAACAGACCTGAATGTGAGGAGTGCTGATGACTGGATGACGTGGTATCGATAAGAGAAAACAAGTCATATATAAGAAAGGACGCACAACTTAGGTGTATTGATAAAACCTGCTAGTCGATATTACTTACACCATCATTTACCATAATACAGGGGCAGTTCAATGGGGATTGTGAGGTGTATTTCGATCATACAACAGGCATGGGACGGAGAATGGTATGTGTGTGTTGGGGGGGGGGGGGGGGNTGGTCGAAGAAAGAAGGACAATGACGAGCAAGGTCAGTTTGTCAACCGATCGGTCGGTCAAGCAACGACAGTCACGAGTTCCAAAGCGGAGGATCCCCGACAAACACTCACATGGATTGATCACGAAGGGAATACATAAGCGGAGAAGGGCAGTTAACTGCACAGAAATTCGACTCAAATAAGTCGAACGCGTGCGATAGAGGGGAGGGGTGAACAAGGCGCATAGCGATCCAGATAAACACTATTCGATACCTGTTATGTGGTCAGTCAAGAGCGAAAACAGAGAAACACTTCAGGGAAAATAGAACAGCAGACCAACCGATCGATCGATCGATAGAATCGCAGTGAAACGCTGTACAAAAAAACCAAAAGCAAAAAATAATCAAAGCATCGAAGTCAAAAGGATTGTAAATGGTTGATTTACACGATAGGAAACGTGGGAATCGAAGACTCAGATGATGTGGATACAATCTCCACAAAGTTCTATGTGCGTATGCGCGTTTTTACGATGAGTGGTGTGTGTGGGTATGAAAGGGACGGATAGGCCAACGCTGAGCGCCAAAGAACGCGCGGACCGGCGGTTGAGAGCAAACTAGTGAGACGAAGGCACTCACAATGCTGAAAATGTCACACGCATCACTTAAGCAACAAAAGGAATAATCGGAGGTGAGAGTTACGAGGGGATGGGCGTCGAGCGAACGGGTAGGCGAGCCACAGGACTAGATCAGGGGAGTGGTTATAACAGTCATATTATATCTTGGTGACCAATGGACGCATGTACAGCCGACGAAAACCGTGGATATATAGAAAATGAGCGTGAATCTTGAAAAAATAACAGTAAACAAAGTCCCGGGGAGAAAATACACGAGACCACTGTACAACGCATAGGTGAATAGAACCACACGATATGCGCCATGTCACATATAAGCACATAAACGCATTTGCATTTCGTGCGGGGAAGCCCACTCACTAGCGGGTTTTTAACGAGGTCATGAAGAGGATGAAACGATGTTGCGTGAGTGCGCAAGGAAGATGATTAACCTAGAGGAAACAAGCCTCACAAATGACTCAGTTGGTTGTGGAAAGAATGCTTCGAATTGCTGCGTCGATGTCCGGATCTTCGGAATGCTGCATACCAACCGTCAATCCTCCGGGTCCGTTGTCCGGGGTTCGTAGCGGGTTTCTTCCAGAGTTCTCTGGGATCTGTGTATATAACGAAATGAACAAGATCATCACAAATTTAGATCGTAGTNGTTATAAAAAAAGGTTAAAAGTCACAGAAAACTTCCAGTCCATGTTGTCTGAGGAGATATGAGCTATCCAAATCGGGGAAGCTACATGGAAACAACTCAAATTCTAAGGTATATGTGATTTATAAAGAAATACTGTTGCATTGTATCGCAGTTTTTAAATCACATATTTCAACACAGATTTGGCAGTGAACCAGTTTAACCTTTACAGTTAGACTAAACCTTGGATTCACTCATTCTAACGAGCACACATTTACAGCTTTTCTGATTAAACCTTCATGAAAGTAAATCAATAAACATTTTAACAACTTGAAAAAAATTGTAAGTAACAAACAAAAAGTGCAATGGAGGGCGATTGAGTGCGAAACCTACCATGGACCCCGGAGCACTATCCAAAGAGGCATCCAATGTATCCGCACCTATCCCACCATCATCCTCTCCGTTTTCACCCATATCCATGTCCATGCCTTCTTCACGCATCAATTCTTGCCACAGATTGTACGTCTCCTCGAACGCCACACATTTGTCCCGGCTACGTTTGCTCACACCGACGACCGAACCGCCACGTTGCTGTCCAGCATGTAAGCACGCATAACTACCATTTGTAACACCCATTGGATCAGAGCCGACTGAACCACGTGACTGTCGTGTGCCTAGACCAAGCAGCAGATCTGCCTCGACATCGTCAGACATTACATCTACATCATCCTCGTCTAATTCAGGTCGTTGCCGGTGTACACAATTATCACCATCGTCATTAGGGATGCAGACAGATGCCTGGTCTGCATTCTCTTTCCCCGGACTTGATAGCAGTTGTTCATCCTTTGAGCCGTTTTCGTGAGTATCAGACGGGTATTTAGACTCATCCATCGGTGACTGCGAATCATTCTCGGTCGCTGGCAGATCAAGGGAGGCGTACGAAGCACGTCCATTGGAATCAAATACAAGCGGACGTAAGAAAGCCAACGGGCCAAGCATGGATTGCCAAGCGGGCGATAGGACCGAAGTGGCATGCCGCAAATAACCCCCTTTGCGATCGGTTGCCGGGTTCGGCGAATCTATTTTCCGAACTGCATCACCATTGAAGTTCGTCTTTGACTCCCTTAAAACGTCGTCCTCGCTTTCAGCCAAAACCTCGGAGAAATCCTGTCTTTCTGAGGCCAACACGTCACGATCCAAATCAAGAGCCATCTGTGCGAGGAGAAGTCTATCTTCAACTGGTGGTTGCAATTGTTCCTGTCAATGGGAGAACAGAGGTAAGGAGCATGTGAACGTATCAATAAACGGATATTTTAATTATCAGGCACAGAATACTAATTGAACACAGATAAGCGAAATAGGAGATAGTTGAAACCAGTCTTTTGAATAAGCTGAGCAAAGGTGTATGGACAAGAAGAACGTGACCACCAGGAATAAGATTCACAAGCGAGTCCCGAATCGAGCAATAGGAACACGGGAGAGGAGCTCTGAATTTGAGCGTCCATCCAGATTCTGATTAGAACAACACCGATTCAAAAACGACAAGTCTTTCTTAACCACAGAACATTCTTGTTTGTGGCGGAGGGAAATACCTGAGTCGAGATGACATGGAACCGCAGCGCCTAGGCGGCACTGATCCCAGATATTCATAGAGCTCAGTTCTTCCCGAGCATGAGAGAACAGTTTAGAAGTGATAAGTAAAAGCGGAAATAGACAATCCAGTCTCCTGTCACTCATTTTATTAATTGTTTGCGTTCGCGGTAATATTTGACTGAGTTTATGCCCTGACAAAGATGAAAAAAGTACTGAAAACAGAACGATACCGCACGCTGACACTTGACTGAATAGGTGAATTTACATACCATGGTTTGCCTAAAAAGCAATGCATCCACGGCCCGGATGGTTTGACGCTTCCTTTCAAACAGCAAGGCGATCGAGGTGTCCAAGACCTTTTCCACTGAAAACAAAACCACAGACAAAATCAATCATATAACGTGCGCAAAACAAATGGGAGCAAGCTAGGCTGAATAACGACACCGAATCCGGTTAAAGGAAAACAAACTAATGATTCACGGCTCACCCTTATTCAAAGCCTCTTCTGTATTATCTGCATCACGAAGAACGTGATACGATGCCAAGGTTTGCAGCAATTCCGTGGGCAGTGGTGGCTTCTCCATATTCTCCATATCTAACGAGGGTTTTTCCACGGACGCCTTCAGATCGTGCGACAAACAGGCTCGCATACGACTGAGTCGGGCGGCCTAGAGGGACGAGTCAGAAAGTTAGATGAACTAATTCTCATCGGTATTGGAGGGACAACAGAAATGAGAAATAAAAATGCAATACTCTGTACTGTAGTCCACAAAGGTGATCCGTTTTCCAAATAGAACATATTTCAGACTGTCTATAAATTTCTAACACTTGCCTACACAGTAAATTGGCTCATAATAGGCAGGTTTGTTGGTTTCGATCAAGTGTAGTGTATCAGGCGACGGTCACGCACGAAAGTTCAATAGCAGATGGGGCTGATGCAAAAGAAAACGCATATATCAATTCCTACCTGTTGCAGGGAAAGACCCAACACAGCACGAGTGGGCGGAGACGGAGCGGCCTGAATAGGAGTCGGAGTTCGGATCGGTTGGGATGCAGTCACGTGGGACTGTTGCGGTTGAATATGGGATTGTTGTGGTTGAGCCGGTTGAATCGATGGAGGTGCTGCCTGTGGTGTACCAACCGATTGGGGGATCGGTTGTATACTAGTGGATTGGGTTGGTGTGGGTGATTGTTGTATGAGTGCACAGTTCGCTGGAAGGGACATCGGTCCGGTTGAGCTGGGTACCATCACAGATTGCTGCATCACAAATGTCTGCGATCCGGATAAGGAGGGAGGGAAAGAGGAGAGGAACAGACCAGGCCCAGCAGTCCCGGTGTTACTGTTATTATTGCTGCCCATTGTGCCTGGGACGACAGCCGGACCAGAAACCGGCAGTGCAGAGACGGCGTGAGGGACAACGGTAGTCGCACCTGTTGGACCCAGATTAGATGCGAAAACTGAGGGGTGAGGAAAATAACAAGAAAACGATGAGGTAGATAAGGCGGTTCCAAATTTGAAATTACGTTGACACGATGCAGAATCTATCGGTCCATCTACGATTGTATGGAAGTTATTGTGGTAATAAGCTTGGCGCAGGTCGGGCAACAGTGGAAACTGCATAGCTGCCCGAATAGTTAACAATTATTCTTTCTGCAAGATGACGAAAATGCACAATAAAAAACACAGAAATTCGTGAAATGTAATGATAGTATTGCCGGTTGTGTGACGCTCGTAGGCACACTATCCGGATATTCTGACAATACAAAAAATGCTCATTGGGTTAAATAATATTGCCCTTTAACGGTTCTCTAATAAGATCAGGACTAGGTGTATTACCTAACAATGACATTTGAGTTAAGATTTAGTAAACCAAAGGATGAAACGAATGGTCCGGATCAAAATGGGGGCTCATGTAAACAATTTCCAGTTTTTCCAACTATTAACCATACACTTTCATGCCCGGTTTTGGTTATCCATCTGGATAAAGGAGTAGAATGAAGATTCAAATGTTGAGAGCAGAGTCAAATAGAAGATAGAGAATCCATATAGACTAGGGTTAAAAGAATAATTAGATGCACGAGCGCCAACCAACTATATAAATCAATGTCTCTAACCATCGGGTACGATCATCCCGAGGTTCCCATCCAAAGAGCCTAACAGGGCCTATGTGACCCAGTCTCCTGATTAAAGTCTTCATACCCTTGTGCCAGGTTTTATTTTGACCAACTTTGGCTTTTTCCACCCACTACCTGCATCGGCAAACATCGTGCGTCGCGGTAACCTATTTGGTGGCATGCGTAACACAAGTGACCTTGATGAAATGTAGGACGGAGTTCTTTATACGAGCGGAACTGAATAAGCATTTTATTCATTAACCCAATCATGCGAATGTTAAAGTTAAACTGCGCGAGGTTCGTTTGATTGATGATTATAAACACCACGGATATGCTCCATTAAAGTCCAGGTAGTTGCTCAAGTTTCTTCTGGAGAATAACAAGGGAACTCATGACCCGATTGCGCAGACGAAAGTGAATTAGCTGACCTACTTCCCTGAGCAGAACACTAACAGTGTGAATAGAATTTTCATAAGAAAATTTATCGGCGAATGAGGGCGTGATGAAAGCGAGAGATATTTCGAGGACTTACTTGGAGTACCTGATCCCTGGGCAGTCATAGGTGACATGGCCAGAGCGGTAACTACACCCATCACAGGAGCAGTGGATACACCTGCGGCGTTATTTGTCCCAACTGGAGCTCCGGCGGGAGTACACAATCCAGTAGCAGAGGGATTTACCGTGCCTCGTATCAACGATCCAGCCATTCCCGTAGCTGGTTGGAGAACTGGTCTCGTTGCAACCAACCGCAACCCAGGAGCTGCTGCCTGACCAAAGGCATGTGTCTGCATTCCGATTGCATTAGGCTGAGTTGGAGCAAATGACTGAATTGGGCCTTGCAGTCGCATTGGTTGGGAAACCAGGGTAGGAGTTGGTCCGAATGCAGGATTTGGGTTGGATATTCCAGCTATATTAACCGACGGATTGGGAGCGACGAACATGCCAGGGCTTGCGGTGGTACTGGTGGTAGCGATCGAAGTTGTTGGGGTAGCTGCAGCCATGGCGATTCGGGGACGGGAAGACATAAACCGATTTTGTTCTTGTTGCAGCACTGTGAGGATTTCAGCTTGCCGTTGCGATCGGACACTATAGAGTAGACGTTCCATATCCGTTTTCTGGGCTCGGGTTAATCGTAACCGATATTGTTGTTGATTAAGTCGGAACTCAACTACAAATGTCTCTGCGGATGTTGGGTTAACGGAGGCTGGAAGTAAATTGTTTTTTGCGAGCATGTTTAGCAGCTCACGACGCTGAAAAATCGAAAACAAACAAAATGATTTATTGTAACTCCAATGAATAACGAAACATGGAGATTTCTATATGATATTATTTATCGAATCGTAATATGCAGACTGGGCAGTAGGTATTTCCACAATAGATAGAATAGAACATGCGGCAGGTAATAGCCCAATATTGCACCACGGGAATAATATCACCAAAGCGAGAGCAAACAACTGGGAAAAGAATGACGCAGAGGAGCTATAAATAGTTTGGCATCCGCAGAAAGATTCGTGTGTGAATTTTGAATTGAGTTCTGTTATTGCGCGTGCACGTAGAGGTTTATCAATCAGATGTGCTTGGAACACTTTAACAAGAACTATCACAGTACGTTTTTTGCATATTCCATTGGACTGAGACCATCAGGCCGCAGTGATAGCGACCATTGCAGAAACAATGAAATCCTATAACAAAACACAAACCAATTGCTACACAGGCGATAGTAGAAGTATCCGTGGGGAGTTGTTTGATGTGTAGCTGTCAGATCAAACTGATGCGACAGTGCCAAAGCGAGCCTAAGACATCTGTTTCGTGCTTTTTGGGACTCGTCAGCAGCGCATATCATGCTTGTATCCCTGCCGCAAGTCAACTAATATACACAGATCCAGAGGTCTGTGAACTGGTGTGGATAATACAAAAAGCTGTATAACAAATTGATTCACGTTACAGACGAAACATGATAGTGAATCGACAGTGCATCAATTGTGACACTTTTGAGGGGTGAAGCTTGTATAGTTATCAACAGGACAGAAAGAAACGATGTAAAGAAAAGCCGGTACATAGTCCATAAAGTTACTGCTATTATTATGGAATAGCGCAAGGAAAACGGGATTTCATTTCATGTATCTAAATAAATAGATTTTCTTTACATTTCGAACAGTTTCACAGACCGGTTGGTAAAAAAGACTTAGTGATTAGGCTAAAGATAGCATGTAAGACTACAATAACAATGGCCGATCAGAAAGTGCAGTTGTGAGTCCTATGCTCTACTGAATATATTTTGACAATGGAAGCCGGTGAATCCCGCCAACGCAAAAAGGAAAAACGAAAGAAGATAAACGCATTGACAAGCCGTAAATGGCACAATCTTACCAGAGAAGGAGAAATCGATGGAGTCTGGGGACACGACTGGCGGCGATTGCCAGTTGTTGTTGTGGTGTTCGGACTGTCCGTTTGTCGTGTATTGCCCGTAGTTGCCATGGTCTTGGCTAATTGGTTACGTGCTTCAATCAGTTGTTTCAACTTGGCCGATTGCATTTCATTCGGATTGGGCGTATTTTGATGAAGAGCAATTTGTTCATCCAGGCGTCGAAGCACTTCACCACTGTCCACAGACGCCGGGGATGCAGGCAATCGGGGTCGAGGATTGGAACGGGCAGATACAGATGATTTCCGTTGGGCCGGACCGGATCCCACGGTAGGATTGGTCGCCATCGAAGGCATAGGTGCATTTCCACCCGGAGTGGTACAATTGGCTTGCACATTGGTCGGAGTTTGTGGTCGGCTGTAGGCCAGTGTGGTATAGGTTCCATTTGGAAGACGAGCTACGGCCATACCACTGGGTGCTAAGGATTGGAAATTCTGAACCGGGGCTGAGCTAACACCGACCATGGAGCACAGTTTCGGCTGCATGAGAGGGTGGAGAAATCGAAGGATGGGAGAAACACATTGTATACACAAACCAAAATTCAAGAATAGACTAGCATTGACTCGGGAGTTGTGAGTGCTATCACTGTACGACGTAAGTCATAATATGAAATTTCGAGTTAAATAAAATCAGGGAATCAGTAGCTAGATTCAGGTTCATCTGACGGGGTATTTGAATAACGGAAAACTCTGTGAACTGGAAGATCGATATTCGAATTCGAGAGTCAACGCAACTATGCGCGAGTCTGATGGGACAAAAGGCAAAGACGATTAAGTAATCGCGATGGCGCACTTACCTAAGGGCTTAAAATCCATGGTTTAGGAAGGCTTGGATAAGCGTTAAGCATGGCATTAGATAAGATACCTGGGCGTGACGTTTGCCAAGGCAGGATGTGATCTGACATGAAAGCATGGAATCGACCACGAAGGTTATGTTAAGCTTCGTGTTTGTGGTTCATAGGATCCGTTTAACAGACGAGGGACGTTCGGGAAAACAACTGTCTAAGACAGCTCACCAACCTTTTACGTCAAGCGTCTTGGCTACTGAGTAGTCGGAAAGAAACAACCGAAACTAGAGCACGCTTTACAGACGTCGAAACTAGTGAGCAAGTATAAAGAGGAACGAAAAACGAAGGAAATGATGAGTTTACGGGTGAAACCGTCTATTCAACCAGGTTATTGGGCACGGTTCGATGGGGATGGAAGTGGGCCATCAACCTTAATTTAAGAACACCTGCACATTAAAACAAACACTTACAGTATTACATCGGGACTAACTTTTTATGCAGAGTTTCATTATTCCACTGGATTTTAGAGGAAGACAAAGCATAATACAAAATAATAATAGAGACTCCAGGGGCTTCCCAAACTGTAGGGAAGGTGAGAAACATTGATCTTGAAAAGGATAAGTGTTTTGCGTGGAAGATTTTCGTATAACTAGCTTTCGAAGATTGTCCGGCTTATAGCACCTATACGAGCTGCAAAGACGCTCGATGTAATGGGAAAACACGTAGAAAAGATGGTGAAATAATTCAAACGGAATGGGAAAGAACAAAAGAAATACTCGGTGACGCGAAAGTCAGACAAGTATTACGCCGAATCACAGCACAAACCGTACAAACACAAGAAGACTAGAACATTTTGGAATTGAACGATTCACTAATAAAGTCGAAATTGGTTTTGCGAGGAATGGTGTCCGGAGTAGGAAAATATACAAACGACACTGATATACTACGTCGAGATTTCCACTTACTGAGGCCAGTTGTGCATCCAAGGAAGCGGGCGCAGTGCATTGAACTAAAGTGGGATTCCCTGGTTGATTTGTTGTAGCATTTATTGTATTAGGACTGGATGTTCCGGAGGTTTTGGGTGACATGATACAAGGAGTTTGAGGACTAGATACGGCAACAGGCATCAGGACGGGATGTCGGGTTTGAAATGGTGACGATCCGACACAGGACAGAGCTTGTGCTGGTTTGAGCAAACCGGTTGACTGGTGAGGTTGAGATTGAAATGACATTGATGAGGCCGTGGAGACAGTGGTAATCATTGTGCCACCGAAACCACTACCAGGATTAGATGGAACCTGAATGAAAAAAGCCTATATACAAGGGAAGAGAAAGTGAGAAACAAATATATCGGATAAAAAAATATCTAAATATTTGGATATTATGGATGTTGTGCGAGTGTGCTCACCTGTCCAGGGTTAGGATTCACCAAACCAGCAGTTGGCTGGGGTTGTTGAGATGGATTGGCAGAAACTGGTGTTCCACTGGTCATTGGGACAGAATAATATGCTGTAGGACCGGTTGGCAATCGAGACATGGCAGAAGGACTAAAACCGACAGGGGTTGGAGCGGTTGCTGGCATAACCAAGCGGCCATCTGGTAAACGGATAATACAATTGGGTGGGGCGGATGCAGCTATTGAAGCCCCGGGAACAGCCGACTGGGGTACAGGTTGTGCCACCATAAAGGTACCACCAGGATTCCCCTGACCAGGAGCAAGCATAACCGGCGTCCCCATAGGCGATGCACCAACGGCAGAGGATTGAGCAAGGAAAAAATTCCCCGACGCACTGTATTTTTACAACAAAAGACAAGATGCGTGAATGAAAAAAAAACACAATATTCGAGAAAGAGTATTAGAAAATGCACAGAGCATACTGCCAGACTATATTTTTACTTAACCAGCAATATACAGCTATACATGTATAAGTAGTGTGACAAAATTTACAGAAATAATTTGTTCATGGATTGTATATTGGGCTAGATGTGACATGTGAAGAAGGTTAGCGGAAAGCATTCAAGCCAAATAAAATAAAAGATTCGCATACAAACTAAGTTCTGTGGTATTAACGCTGATATGAGTAATAGTAACTAGTCCAATATGATAGATTTAACAATTATCTAATGAAAATGGCGTTAATATTATGGCTGTGATTATCTCTCAATTTTACGAACTTCGTAATGACACGTTACCAAGTTTCAGAAACAAATCGATGGTTAATTAAAGGCTGACAATCATGAAGTGATAAAATAGAGCGACAACGATGGGGTTGAAACGAGTGAAATTGGAAACAACGTGCCTATAGCGTTTGCTCATCACGGATGAAAGAGCGATCAGTCATGGTCGGATATTATCATTGCGATTTCTAGGATTCAAATCATGAGACAACTCGTTTTTGCAGTTCCATTTCCGTTTACCTCAGACGTGAATAAACTCAGAGGGTAAATTGACGTGGAGAAATATCTTAACTGACGTGGGACTGCTGGATAGACTGACCTAGTTCCGCTTTTATTTCTCCAAGGAGGCAAACCTTATGCTGGAGTAACTGATTTGAAAAGATGAGCGACATCATCGTGATTGATGCGAATCTGTATACCTAACATGCGAGTAAATGAATGGATTCGTGAAATCCACAGACATTAGCTTACTTAACAGAATAACCAGGTTATTCATAAGCCTGAGTTCCCATCTACTAACGGCCAAATAAGAGTCATCTGAAGATGAGCAACCGGCTACCTTTGGACACCATGAAATACTAGCATAATGGAAGTGGACACAAGAAAACGAGAATGTACTACAAAGCACAGTTCATTAAGACCGAACGAATGACACACCCGGAGAACACCAGTTGTTGTTGCTGGTGTTGTTGTTGAACAGGCGACTGCTGCGGACCCGGGCCCGGATGAAGTTGTTGCGGTTGACCTGGTGGAGTTAACATGCTTGGCGTGAACATGGCATTGGGCATAGAGCAAGAAGGAGTGCTCCCGGGAATTCCGACGGATGTGTATGACGTGATGGGCATCATATTTGTCACAATTTAGCCGGAAGTGACGGACTGTGACGATGGTGATGATTCAGAAGGATCGCACGAAACGAGTGATTTTGAATGATACAAGCTTGGTTGCTTGGTGGCATAACGTCTTCAAGATCATACCTTTCAAGCAAGGCAAACGATCACAGATGTGACAAAACAGCGTTCAGAAGCAAAGCTTTGAGTACAAGAGGCTATGACTTGAGAGAGTAGGCTTCGATGTACTGTCGCAATGGGCAGTCGACTGCGTCATAAGCAAATGGTTCTTCGGGGACAAAGGAAACCTGAGGAATGAGCGAGAGGTGCACAATAAGTTGACTGAGTGAACGAAATCGAGCAATCGGATTGTGAAATGCAACACTAAAAAGGATGGATAATCTGTAACTACATAAAAACCGCCATTAAAAGAGAATGATTACCTGCAAAATGCGGGCGTATTATGGGTTCCAGAATACCGGTTAACGTCAATAGGCAGTAAGTGCATTAACAGATGTCATATATATATATATATATATATATATATATATATATATATATCACATATTTGCAACATCAAAAAGAATAGAAGTTACTGCGGTACGAGGACAAGGTGGACAACAGTATGATTTAGTCCAAAATATTAACAAACAGATCACCAGTGGAATATCCAAATTTAATGGTACAGATAAGCCCATAGAGGAACAGTAGATAATATCACTCGCCATACGGAAAGACTTCTGATACGCACACTGTCAGATGATATTCACGTGCTTTTCCACGCCATATGGTAAGCACTCTGAACAGGCTGCTTTGCAGCTAACTGCTGGGCCAAGTGTGTGCAGTACAACTGTTAGTCGACATCCAGTTTGAAGACATTGAGCTAGAACGGTGTGGAGTGCATGACAAATAGAGAAAGGACAGCGAAGACTTGATTACATCTAAACCCATTTCATAGGTACATCTAAACATTATAAAAATTATGTGCAGCCAGAAGTCACATTCTTGATGTCTGGTAAGCAAAAGTCGGGTGAAATAGGTGTCGTAGGGAAGGATTCGCTGAAAATACCGACTGCATAGGAGAAAAATTTTACATTCAACTCAGGAGTAAGGGGAGAGAATCCGACAATGATATGAAACGTAACCCGTATGATCTTTGTTAAAAAAACAGGCTTCTAGATGTTCAGCAAATGTGCTGCTATTATTCCTGTAAGCAAAAGCATTTCGTTAATAAAGAATTATTAAATGGAGTCTACAGATGTCCTTATTTTACACTGAAAACCTGGATTGGAACATGATCACGTGATTGGTGTGACTTCGACGGAGAATGATCGACGTCCGGGAAAGGTCAGTAATCAAACAAATCAAAAAATAAATCGATAGCGGAATACAAGAAGGAGAATGGCTCAGGGACTGTCGTACCGCAACCCAAATGGCTTACAGCCTTTTTCCATTTTTCCCGAGGACTACGCAAAGCGTGGAGTAATTCACTACAACATTCCACCAGTACGGCTGCAGAGAGAAACATTAGAGAGTGTATTAGTCGAGCCTAAATACTGGCACGGTTACACAGGAGCCAAAACGTTTTTTACACACCAGCCTCTACCATCCACAACGCGATTCTCCGTCTATGGCGGAACAGCGCCTAAAAGAACTTGTGTTAATGCTTACGTGCCCTCGACTGGTATTGCGGTACAACAGACAAGCTTTGGTGTGCCTTATAACATTACAACAGCAGCCGCTCTTCATGGCGCTTCGGCCACGGGTCAACCGCAAAGACCCCAGATTCATCCTATGCAAATAGACGTACCGGACTCTCGTTTGTGGCGATTTGATGGACGAAATCATACTTTTAAAGTTTGAGTTTCAAACATTTTCAATACTTAAGTTAGCTTTTACATTCGAACTAAAGTTTTTTTTCACAACATGTCTGTTTATCCAAAATATCCGGAAAACACCAGGGGTTATATTAATATGCGGAATGGAGAAGAATCGGTTATACAAGTTTAATACCACGATAGACCTGTGTAGAGAATAGAACGGGTGCTGCTGTTATTTAGACAATGAGCTGCGTTCACAAAGCTATGGCGCGTAAACCTGTAGATCAGATACCCGCAGTGATTAACTGAACAAATTACCTGGTCTGGATTGATTATTAATATTATTATATATCGTGTTCGGGTTCAGACTATATATCAAACAAATGATAGTAGAATAATTATAATAAAGAAACGAATTCATGATTTGCACGTGGCGGGGGGTTACTACCAGGTTGCTCAGATCTAGACACAGAGGAGACAAGGAGAATCACCATTCGTTCCATAGATTGGATTAGAGGACAGGGGAACTATATCGTTGGTGAAAAGAAGGTACGGGGTGGGTGAAAGTGTGGAACTCTGAGCGATGCCGGCACTCACAAGGTGTAGATAGAGCTCGCCATTAACCAGGATAAAGACGATGCGGTTGCTGATAAAGTTTGAAGTACAGGGCACACCGGGGGAAATTGAAACGGCGATAGTTTCGCTAACAGTATTTCACACTAGATATAGTTGGAAGCTTTCGCGAGATGAAGTGATACAATGTGGAGTAATCAGAGGTTGCCAAGTGAAGCCGACCACTGGTGAGACCAGGATTGATGGATAGATCACCAGTGGATCGACTTGATCGAAATTTATATTGATGATTGCTAGGGAGTCCTATTCGTTTGTAGTGTAGTTTGTCAGCAAAGATGGTTTTCATTCTTTTCGAAATAACAAGAGTGAGGGAAGTAAGTCAAGAATTGTTCGAATAGAAAGGGTTACTGTTTAGGAGTGGGATGAATCGCGCAACAACAAAAAAATGCTCCGTTGTCTAAAAACTATTCCGGAGGTGTATGGCATAGCGTTGGTGCTATACTAACCCAGAACGGAAGACCGGTGACTATCTTTTCCCAGATTTTTCCTCGAGTGAACAAAATAATTTAGCAGTCGATGAAGAAGTACATGCTTATGTAGTATCAGCCCCCAAAATGGTATCATTAGCTTATAGGTAGGAGCTTTTCAATGGTAACGAATCAAAAGCCAGTTTTGTTCACGTTTCAAAGGTGATTACAAATTCAAAACTGGAAAACGATAGCATTTGGCACCGGTGTGTTAAACTGTCGTGCTACGGCCTCGATATAGTAAATTCATAACTACCGCCATTCACGGCATTAACATTGAGATCCAATCTAGACAAAACACGTTTGTCATCAAGGTGTTACAAGGATGTTTCCCATTGTCAAATCCGGAAACCCTTCGTTGTTGTTAGGCTTTGGCGTCTGTACTAAGATTAAACTAATTTTACTGATTAGGAGGTACACTCAAAGTGACAATCTTGTAAAAGAGTGAATAAAGACCTTAAAGGACCACTACCAACAACAACAAATTGAAATAACCTATCTATACTCTTGTAGACGGTTATTAACGATCTGCCCTTGCTTAGACATTCGTTGTTACGCACCATGGCGTGAAAGAGAGCGCAAGGGGTAGACCTCATAATTACAAAAACCTACGATTCACTCGTGGACAGCGGTAACCTAAGCCCCGAGCCCTGATGTGGCGAAAAAAAGACCCCAATAATCAGCTATTTCCTGTTTTTTTACATTCACTTAGACGGAATTACACTGCCCAGGTCAAATGGCGATATTTTTGCAACGAAGACGGTATTGCAGTGCATAGAACCACCTCAAACTCCACAAATGAAAGGCTTAAACGGCCTTGTTTGGAGAATAACCNCATCTCAACATAGGTCTATATCCCTATAAGAGAGAACGCATTCGAACGCCTTAGACATTGATTGTGCATATCCAAAAACGAAATGGAGCTTATCTGAGATACATTAGTATCCTCTTCCCTCTCTCTTTTCCCTTTGGGCACTATACACGACCAGCACTTTCACACAAACGATGATCTGACATTTAAATGCAGTGGAAATGTTTGTGATAACGGACAAAGAGCAGTGGACAGCTGCTTCGTCCTGTTTGGGACTCGTCAGCAGTGCGTACATTTTGTGTCCCTGTCAAGACTCGAATCGCGGTTATCACAAACACTTCCACCGCATAAAATGCATTGAAATAGTGGGGAATTAACGATCTACCAAGGAGCGAAACCCACACCGTACATTATCAACAGTGCCTAGTGGGCTAATCCAAACATCCATCATCTAGAGACTATTTGATTTCTTTGTTCATCCAACCATTACTCCTTTTTTCAGCGAATAATAGCAAATATACGTGGATCCCGCATAACCACAAGGCTTGAACGTTCTTTAATGCCACCCATAGTTCATATTTAAATCGGTTGGGGAGAATGTAGATTAGTTTCACGGATTTTATTACGTATTCCTCTCCTCTACACTTCGGTTTCCGTAACGTTTTGTTTGTCAAATAAAGCGTGTATACTGGTACCGATTTTTTCTGAATCATTTTGTTGTTGAGACCCAGTCTCACGACTGTTCAAACCATAATCGGTTGCGGGTGATATGCATGTGAGGGTGAGTTGAGTAAGTGTAAATCACATTTTCAATAACCGTGTTTATCACTGAATTTCGAAAGAACAATTGGTAACCTATCCAAAGGGATAACAAGTAGGCTACCACGGAGGGTACTGTTTGCCGAGGTAGGTATGAGGTGGAAAAAGTAAACCGTGGTGCAACAAAGACCTGGCATGACAGTATGGAAACCCTGACCAGGATAGTTGCTCACAGTGATCGTGAAAGGTTTCCCGGACGGGGACATCAGGATCAGCGTAACCATACGGCTGTATCGTACACCGTGGCTCTCGTGAATCCAATCAATATTCCTGTAACCCTGGTTTTCATGCTAGGGGCTGATGGTAGANTAGCCTCGTGACAATAGAGCAGAAGGAAAATTGGAACGTTGGCAGCAGCTTCAAAGAGAAGACAGAGAATTCATATCGGGTGGGGTTGCAAGAATAAATGAACAAATGATCGCATAGAGAGTAACCGGCAACACCTTACTTCCCTGCAATTCACACCTG